AAAATATTTTTATGTGAGTATTCTTCCTTTTTGAGCATTGAGGACAATGCTCCATTTAAGCTTGGGGGGGAAGCATTCTCACGCTTTTTGTGTATATGTTTGTGATCTTAGCTTTGAATAAGCTTGGGGGTGATTACTTGGTTATGGTGTAAAGAAATGCGCAATCTTTGCTTCACAATTTAGGTTAACCACCAAATTTTAAATTTATCCTACCTTAACCCTTTTTGCCTTACGTTACAACCTTTGGGAAGACATTTTGACCTAGGGTTTGAGTCATTCATCGTTGGAGGGAATCATGGGTTATAGCCTAAGGAAAGGGGATGCGAAGTCAAGATGTTGAGTAAGCCAAAAATTTGATCTTTTTCCGGTTCCTTCGTGGAATCTATGAGACGCTCACTAAGGGGAGATATGAGATTAGTAGGGAGAACGCGGTAAGACCGTTTGGGATGAAAGTGGAGTGTGATAACTAGTTCCTATTCTTAGCATAGTTATGTTTCAATCAACCTTAGGTATCTTGGAGTGTGCACTCCCTTACTTATTTAGAAAGATTTGCATTCATTTGTGCTTGTACATTTTAAAAAGTCCTTTCATGAACATGTGTTTGCTCTTCTTTTCTTTTGATTTCCTTTTTTATGCTTTGCCTTGTTTGTATTATTATGAGAGTTATGGGTTAATCTCTTAGGAAACCTTTACGAGATCATCACTCGTCCTCTAGGGCGATCTAAGGGTTTAAATGGCTTGTCTTTAGTTGCTAAAATTGACCGTGATTCCTACGAAAGTGAGTTAGTGTATATTCTCAGCTCTTTCTTTTTTCTTTTCTTATTTGATCCGTGCCATTTATGGCACCTTTAGGCTTTCAATGGTGATTGAGAGATTGAAGATACAAGGGTGACAATTGTGTTTGTTTGGTTGAGAGATTGAGAGACTTAAAGTAGGCCTTGCAGATACAACAGACTTCCGGGGTGTCCGCGGGCGCGACCGATTTCTCCGAGGGCGCGGACTTCTGGGTCTGTTACGATTTTAAGCTTCTTTTCTCCTTTTGTTTATAGATTGTTTTAGGGGGTTTTTATTATCATTCATTCACTTAGTTCTTAGTCTTAGAATAGTTTTCTCTCTTAGGTTGAGAGCTTCTCTCTCTAGATTAGGCTAGATTAGGAGTAGTTTTAGAGAGAGAAAGTGAAGGATTTCAATGGTTATTGAGAGATTGTAGTTACAAGGGTGACAATTGTGTTCAAGATCTTCTCTATTATCAATGAGCATTCTTAAATCTATCTCACCTTATTGCTTTGTTTAATTTCATGTTTGTTTGGTTTAATTTTGATGTTTAATGCTTGATTAGCGTAATTGTTCTTGATAATTTGTTGATTCTTGATTTCCATAGTTGTTAGTTGATAGATGATGATTTTTGAATTGTTGTTTGGCTAGGAATTGGGTGAAACTTGTATGATTGATTAATTGTGGTTAATTTGGGAATTGTGTTGATTAATTGTTGAGATTAAAATGATTAGTGAAGGTTTGCATGTGTGTAATTTAATTAGGCCTTGAGAATAATGCTAGATTGCATTGTAATTGCTAATGACATGAACAATTGATTTAGGAATTGCAATTATCGATTGGTTTTGATTATGATTCTCTTAGTTTGTTATTCATAGTGAATCCTAGCTTAACAATTAGGAGATAGCTCTTTGATTCCTATTGATTGCTCTTATTATTAGTCCTCACAACCTTTGATTGACATGCTCTTCCCAAGTTGTTGCAATTGACATGATTACTTGTTGACCCCCGTTCCTAGTGTTTTATTTCCTTGGTTATTTGTTTTGTTAGTTGTCAGTATTCTCTTTTACCTTCGTCTTCGACCTAGCTTAGGCGCATAATTGAAAGTGCTTGAACATTACCGTTCCTTTGGGTTCGACCCTTGACTAGCCTCTATACTCGTATTAGGTTTGTAAAGTGTTTATAAATTTAATTTGACCGAGGGAAGATTAGATAACGACCTAGTTTTCCCCTCGTCAATTCTGCCGCAGCAGGTGTTGTGCACATCTGAATGAGTTGCGCGTCGCATCCCAGCGCAAGTGATTTAGTTGCGCTGCTATGGGCAGCACAACTGAATGTCTTGCGCGCGGTTTAATTGTAAGATTCGATTCTATATTTTATAAAATTCTAAATCTTCCGCAAGCGCATCCCTAGAAGTTGCGATGGGTGTTGCGTGCAACTGAATTAGTTGCGTGCGCCATACCAGCGCAACTCATTGAGATGCGCACGGATTTTCTTTCAGCAACTTTATTTTTAACCTAGGAGCCTCTAAATTCGTCATTATTGGGTCTTAAGCACGGGCTTAAGTCTAATTATGATTGAGTTTAGTTAATTGAACCTTGTTTCCTATTGTTTTGGGTTAGGCTAGTCTTTTTGTGTCTTTGCGGTATTAGCCAGTCATCCATAAGCATTCTTCACTTCGATCCAACACGAAGATGGTTTTATTTTTCGTCATTGTACTTTTTGTCACGACAGGAGGCCAAAAATAGATGTCTACACCGTATGGTGCGGCTAGCCGCATATAAAACTTTATGTGAACTTTCAATAATAAAACAAAATATGTATCATATCTATATTAATATATTAAAAGGCGTTACTAAGAACGTCTCTGTGCCACGTAGACCACGCCATGTCACCTTCTCTATCTCTCATTATGCCACATCTTCACTACTCAATCAATTAGAATATTTCTTTATATAAACAAATGATGATAAGAGGATTTAAACACCCAACCTTTTATAAGAATGATAGTTCCTTAACCATCTAAGCCAATCATAAACTTTGTTATAAACATGAAAATAAATGTATATAATTGATAATCACAAGGTCTAATTAAAGTAGCAACCGGTGCAACGCTCGGGCTACACACTAATTTAATAATTTAAAAAAAAAACATTGTTGGGAAAGTTATACATGGACAAGCTATTGCTATTTTCGTTAATAATCATGGATTCATGCTATTTTCCAAACTTCAAAGTACTATATTTATAACCTACATAGCGACGCCCTTACCAATAAAATGCAAACATATATAAAAAATAACGATGATGAAAAAGAACTTATGAATAAAATGATCATAATCAAAATATCAAAAATGTATTAGTCACAAACTCACAATTTTATGCGTAAGATTTTTATGAAATAAACTAAAAAAAAGCAATTAGCTAACTAAATTTCTTAAATACCTTTTATTTCCTATATATTTTATTTATAAAATTCGTGTATTATAATATAATAAAAAATATTGTAGTTTGAATAGTAAAATAAAAATAATTGATCTTTATGTAATATTTTCGACATCAAAATATAAATTAATTTATTTTATGTGATGCAGTTTTTGTCTAAAAAGATGGAACAAATATACACTATATTTCACAAAAGATATTAGAATAAATTATTACCATGCATAGTGGAACTAGAATAAGAAGAAACATATGTATATCATATTTATATTATATAGTACTATTTTTGTCAAAAAAAATATAAATTTTATTGATCTTATGTAGTATAGATTTTGTCTAAAAAAATTTAACTACATATATATGTACATAATTTTCATTATTATTCTTAAATAAAAAAATAAAAAAAATTAAAACAGTGTGACCAAACATTTTTTTTTGTAAGAATGGTCAGGGTTACTTGGTTAGGGGTTACTCGGTCAGTCAGGAATTACTCAGTCAAACGAGGGTTACTTGGTCAGTTATGGATTACTCAGTCAGTAAGGGGTTACTCACTCGATCAAGTCGGTTAGGGGTTACGCACTCAGGGGTTACTTGGTCAGGGCTTACTCGGTTGGTCAAGACTTACTATATACTATAATAAGAAAGAGGGCACTAAATTTTTTTGCCAAAAAATATAAATTTTATTGATCTTATGTGATACAGTTTTTGTCTAAAGAAATTCATTGCATAAATTTGTACATAATATTTCATTATTATTCTTGAATAAAAAAGTTATCACAAACTGTTAAGCCGAATTCTCTAACTACATGGGACGAGGTTACAAAGGAATTTCTATCCCATTTCTATCCAAAAGAGAAAACGGCGGAGGCATGAGCTTTGATTCAAGGCTTCAAACAAAAGCCAAGTGAGAGCCTCTATGAAGCATGGGAGAGATATAAGGAGTATCAAAGGGAGTGTCCTCACCACGGGATTCCAACCTATCAAATTATTCAAATTTTCTATGGAGGCCTAAGTCCCCAAGGCAAGTCATGCTTAGATGGAGGAGTCGGAGGTCCCATCATGAATAGGACGGAGGTAGAAGTGGTGGACATCATTGAGGATGTTGTAAGGTACTATAGAGATTGGCAAGATGGTGACAGAGAATCAACTAGCAAGAGTATCTTTTCGATGTACTCGGTTGATCATTTAAATGCAATCAACAATCTCATCTCACAAATGGCAAACTTGGGGAAGGAAGTGAGTGCAATCAAGGAAAAATTGCAGAGTTCTTCTTCCCAAGCTCCAAGTCTTCCCTCCCAATTTAAGGGGAAAGGTACTCCTTCTAAATCTCACCCCCCTCCTTCTTCTAGTAACATGCCTAGTGGTTGTTTGTTTTTTGATGTGTGTAGTCATATGATCATGATTCTAGTAATTGCCCTCATGCTTTTCCGGATGGTAATGATGAATTTGATGATAATGAGAGTGAACATGTAAACTATGTGTCAAACAATAATAATGTGCAAAGGTTTGATAACCAAAGGGGTCAATGGAATCGGAATTACCAAAACGATGGTAATTTTGACAACTATAACCAAGGTGGTGGTTATAGGAACCAAGGGAACTAAGGTTCTCGAGGTAACTATAATAATCAAGGTTATAGTGGCCAAAATCAAAACCAAAATTATGGTAATCAAAACCAAGGTTATGGAAATCATAATCAAGGTGGTGGTAACCATAATCAAGATTATGGTCACAATCAAAATAGGGGTAATTGGAACAATCAAGGGAGAGGCAATTTTCAAAATAATGCTCAAAGAGGCCCTCCTCCCAGAAATCATTGAAAATCAAACAAAGTTGTTGAGCACTTACATGGCTGTAAATGACAGGAAATTCAATGAGGTGATGATTCATAATAAGATGCTAGAAAACCAAATTTCTCAACTTGCCAATGCCTTGAAAGACCATGCTAGTCCTTCTTCTTTACATTCCCAAGGTTTATATCCAAAGAGACCCGTGAATGCTATTGTTACAAGGAGTGGTAAGTTTCTTGAGGAGAGTTTGCCTAGGAAGAGTGGAACTAAGGAGGTCCCCAAGGAGGTCTTGGTAGAGGATGAGAGAAATGGTGCATCTTTTAGTGAGGTTGTGATTGAGACACCTAGAGAGGTGAGAGTGGAGAAAGAAATTGTGAAACCCAAGCTTCCATATCCACAAAAATTCATGAGATATAGGTTGGATGAACAATTTGGAAGATTTATTGACATGCTTAAGCAACTTCATCTTTCTTTACCTTTTACCGAAGTTATTACCCAAATGCCCAACTATGCAAGATTCCTCAAAGACATTTTGAGTGGTAGGAGCACTTCTGATGTGGTGGAGACGGTCAACTTCACCGAGAATTGTAGTGCAATTATAATGAATAAGATGCCACCCATGTTGAAAGATCCCGGAAACTTCTCTATCCCTAGTGTTAGCTTAATGCCATATTAGATTTATCAAAGATTTTAGTTAGGGGAAATTATGCCTTCCAAAATTACCTTGCAATTGGCCAATAGGTCGATTAAGATTCTTAAGGGAAAGGTTGAGGATGTTCCTTTGATAGTAGGGAAGTTTATGATTCCGGTAGATTTTGTGGTTCTTGAAATGGATGAAGATGCTACTATTCCCATTATTCTTGGAAGAACTTTTCTTGCTACCTCGGGTGCTATGATTGATGTTAAGAGTGCAAAAATTTCACTCAAGGTAGGAGAAGAGGTCATCGAATTTGACTTGAATGAAAGCATGAAGTATCCATGTTCTTCTCTAGAAAATTGCATGTTGATTGATTCTCTTGATCTTGTTGTATCTCCCATGCATGAGCACTTTCTCACTTCTAATGATCCTCTTGAGAATGTCTTGCTAAACAAGGATAAGATAGGTGCTCCTATCAAGGAAGTGGCAATGTATGAGGATTTGCTAAATGGAAGCATTGAGGAAATGGATGAGCATATGTGCATGAATATTTCAAGTCAAGAAGCTTTGCAAGTCGCCACTTCAAAGGAAGGTAAAGGTGTACTAATGGTTGAGCTCAAACCTCTTCCATCACACCTTAGCATCAAAGGATCAAGATGGAGCGGTCCTAATTCGACCAAGAGTGTTTTTCCAAATGGTTTTGTAGAAGTCTCAATGAAAGATTCTCCTTCTCCGTTCAAGGCTAATGGAAATCTTCTAATGAAGTATCTCAACGATGCTTTTGTTGATTTCGTTGACCCATTGTTTCTCCGACAACAACCTTAATTGGTGGAGGACGTCGAGCTAATGACGTTAACAAAAGGGTTTCTCGAGAGGCAACCCGGTTTTCTAACCTTTTTCTTTGATTTTTCAATTTGCTATACTTCCTCCCTTGAGAACTTTTCTTATTTCTCTTTATTTTTGTTTGTTCTTTTGATCTTAGGTACCATGAGATTGGATCAGAGAAAATTTCTTACAATTTTGGTGCTACTTCAAGATTTCATGAGGTTTTGTTAAGCTTAGAGAAAAGGGTTCGTTGAGGTTATATGTTCTCGTGTTTGCATTCTCATCGATTTTTATTTATGTTCAAACATATTTTGGATTCTTTTTTATGAATTTTTGAGTCCGTGATCATGACATTCGATAAGGACGGTGAGAATGCAAACTGAAAGCATCATTGCAGGTGTATACCTTTTTAGAGCCTTCCCGAGTTGCATCTTGTGCGCACCCACCAGGCTTCGCGCACACACCACAAAGACTACCCGCAGGCACGGGTCTACAGGCCGCGGGCACGGGTGTCTGCATATAAAAAATCTCCAAATCCGACCAAGAACTCCCCGCGAGCTGGCCGCAGGATACCCGCGGGCGCGGAGATTTCGGGAGCAGGCGCAGCTTTTTGTTGCGTGCATGCATCAGCTGGCAGCCCTTATAACCCCAAAACGCACCCTACTCTTTCATTTCTCTCATTTTTCCCTCCTAAAACCCTATACCCTCTCTTGCAAAACCAAACCCATTTCACCTCTTTTTCTATCATTTCAACATCAATTTACAATAACCACATCATGTTTTAAAATTTCTATCCCAAACATTTTAGATCTATTATCTCAATTCAATAAAAAATTGGGACTTTTTCAAATTTTTGAAATTTTGTGTTGAGGTTTGGAGCTTGTTTTTGAGAGTTCTATTTGTTTTTACATCTTCATTTTGGGCAGTTTACAAGAATTTCAAGGCTTCATTGAGGTATGGTTTCTTATTTTCTAGTCATCTTCTTCCTCTTTGTTCAAGCTTGAAACCCTTGTTTTGCTTTCATGGTGGAACTCTATGGTTAGTTCTTTTCACTTGAAATTTGTGTTGCATGATATCATTGAGTGTAGAGTTGAAGCTTTTTCAAGATAAATGTGTAAACTTTGATTGAATTCTTGAATAACCATTGTTGGCTATTTTCTCTCTCATGGGTATTCTTTGTGATGGTTTCATATCTTTGATAATTCAACGCTTGAGATTATTTTTCTCAATTTGACTCACGATTTGGTCTCTTATGTTCAATTTTTCCTTTAATCCATGTTTATTTGCTTCATATTCATGATTTTATTAATGACATTGTTCATTTGACACCATCTCTTGCTTCTATTGTGAGATAATTTCATTTGGTGCTTGACTCTTGAACAACTACTTATGCTAAGTCTTGATATTTTGTAGATGGCCACACTCCGTCATAAGAAGCGAGCTAGAGCAAGTTCAAGCAAGCCTAGGTATGTTGTTCCACCTCCTCCCGGGGGTAAAGGAACTTATGGCATTGAATTTTCAAAAGAATCACATTGGGATTGTTTTAAGCGTCTATCTATGAGGAAGCTTATACCAACGAGATTCAATGATCAAACAACTACCAAGTTTCTAGGGATTGATGAGGATGTTCACCTTCTTGCAGAGGGCCGTGATCTTTTAGAGTTTTTGGATTTGAGTGCCCCTACTTATGCTAGGGTGACTTATGAATTCCTTTCTTCTCTTGAAGTTGTCCAAGAACCGGGTGCAAATTACTCAAAGATTTCTACTTTCCAACTCTTCAACAATGATAACTTATTGACGGATGCTCAAATATGTTCATATTTCAAGTTTCCTTGGGCCGATGATCCGGATAATTGTATCTATCCAGCACATAGTAGAATGGAAAGTGATCATGGATATGATAAGCAACGTTGGTGGAGGAGTATCTCGGAGGAAGGAAAGTATGATCCTCAAACTTAAAAGTCCGCTTCCATGATTCATCCGGCAATGCGGTATTTCAACCGAATCCTCACATACACTTTTCGCTCCAAGGAATCTTTGGGAGCTATCTCTCGTGAAGAGCTTTGTTGGTTCTGGATAGCCGACCAAAACGACTTTGAGATTGAGTTGGTGGATTTTACGGAGCATTTGATCACTCGATTCTTGGATAACTGTGATGGAGTTTGCCTATTGAGGTGCATCCAATTTGGTGGGATGATTTCTATCCTAGATATTTGCATTAATGATGACTACAAGACTTTGTTAGATGAGCTTCCCCGAATATCGATCCTCGAGAAAAGTCTCCCTCTCATTTCCTCAACATCTCCGCCCTTGTGAATCAAAAGTTTCTCATTCAAACTAGGAAGATTGATGTTTTCATTTGGATAGTTTCTCGGTTTAAGGAATGGTTCCTCATCCCATGCAAGGAGGCAACTACCCGACCCGAGGAGAGAGATTCCTTGTCTTGGAGGCCCCCGATGCGAGATATTAATCCTTCTATCTGACAAAGGACAAATTGTATGAGAGGTCGTTCAACCAATGCTTGCTCATCGAATGCTGATTCTCTTCCCCCGGTTGAATTGGGAGGTACACCTACTCTTTCCCCCTCTCCCACTTCTTCTACTTTTGATATGTCAACCATTCATGCCAAGCTTAATTCTATTGCTAACGTGTTGTACTCCATGCCTTCTATGCAACCCCCCTGGTTATGATTACCATATGTATCAATTATATGATTTGCATGTTCGGAGGGGGGAGATAGAACCTTATGTCAACTATCCGTACCACCCGGTCCAACAAGGACCTATCCCTCAATGGGAGCCTTTTGATCCTAATGTGGGTCCTAGAATTTGTTACCCTTATTAGGAGGGCCCCAATGTTCACCCTATTTCTATCATAGGCACTACCCCGGGCACTTACTACTATAGGCGGCTCGGTGCTTGTGATTATGCATATGATCCGGCTAATCCTTCGCCTTTTCCGGACCCCGAGACTTTTGGTAGGTGGGGTAGGTCGGGTGAGCCGATCTTAGATGATTGGTCTCATTATTTTGAGGTTGATAGAATTAGGAGGGAAGGTAGGTTAAGGGAGAAGGCTCCTATGGAGGTGAGCGAGACGGCAAGCTCTAGTCATTTGATGGAGACCGGTGAGGGGAGTTCTCATTCTACCCCTTACCATAGTGCGGAACGATACTACCATGGCTACCCCCCCTTCTTTTGTGCTTTATATGATGTTACTTTTTTGCCTATATGTCTTTAGGTTTCGGGTTAGGGGGGCCATTTTAGGCTTGGGGGTATTCTATGTCGTTTGTTGTTGTGCTTCGTTGTTTCCCCCTTGCTTTTGTAGTTCATTCCTGGTCTTGTCTGCTTCTGGTATCGATCTCTGAGTCCCTTGGTTTTATGATGATGATGCTATGTTTCTTTTGATTTCTCTGCCCGGTTATAGGCCTTGTTGTTTGATTTGCTGATCGATGTCTGATGCGTTTCTCTGTATCTTTGTGATGATGATTCCTGATAAGGATTATCTGATATTTTGCTTCCTGTTACTGTTTCGGTTTGATGTCTCATTGGATACTACTCTTGTTGCTATTACTACTTGCTTTTCCTTTATTTTCATTAATTTATTTTCTTTATTTTCTTCTTTTATTTTCTTTGGAAGTTACTACCAATTTTCATTGTATATAGTTCTTATATTTTCACCTTTCTCTATTGCTTATTCTTTGGGTTTGATCGATTCATAAGGTGCTCTTTCACCTTGATTATGTAGCATAGCTTTGGCGCCCGGTGAGATCTTTCTATATCTCTTATTTTTCTTTTCTTGGATGCTTAGTTTAGGATTAGCTTTAGGATGAGTTGAATTGTTCGAGGATGTTTTCTTTGTGACACCTAGCGTGTTTGGGGTCATTGGCGTTGTTGCCGAATGACCATTTGTTTGACGATTGGGTATTACTTGTGATTGCTTGCATTCTTGTGCTTTTCTCTCTTTATTTTGATATTTAGTTATTTTCTTTCTTTCAAATAAAATAAAACATTTTTGAGGCTATTCTTTTTCTTTTTGCTTGTTTAGCTCTTTTCTTTGGACATTCTACAACTCGGAATTTTGCCTTTGTATGTATGATTTCCTAAGTTTTATTGGTGTGCATGCTTTAAGAATACTTGCGGTTGACTCAAGGATAGGGTATGTTAAGGTAGAGGTTTAGACCTTTTGGGGCCTTGAAGCCAGATTCCTTTGGGTTT